TAGTGGCTTTGTCATAAGTAAATCGATGTTAAAATTTTGTGATTGCACTTTTTCTTTTCCATTAAAATGAAAAATGTCAAGCACCAGTGAGTCAAGTCCTTGCAGTCCGAAAAATAACAGATGCAACTCCATCTTCAGTGCATTGTATCATGCAGATAAGACCTCAGATCGGTCAAATTTCAGTTGATCTCAGAGCAAATTTGACCATCACTCCTTCAATACATTGTACAGTACTACCTTTTTGCATCCATTGTGACGCTATTGTACGTGAAATGGTGGTGTACCTTCGCTTTAATGTGCACTCCCCTAGTCCCCTTTTTGGGTGGTAGATAACTTGATGCGTGAGGTTCGCTCCATTTTTTAGATCATTTGAACATCTGAGCAGCTCCCAGCAAAAAAAAAACAAAACAAATAGGGTTAGAACAGTGCGTGAACAGTAAACATTTTTATAGACCCCAAATTTGTTTTTTTTTTTTGCCGAGAGCTGCTCAGATGTTCAAATGATTTGAAAATTGAAACGAACCTCACGCATCAAATTATCTATCACAAAAAGAACTGTTGGGCTTTTTTGAATTTTTTCTAGTACTTGTTTTTGAAAAAAGAATTGGCAGGCGGATGCAGCTGAGCCTGGGCTTAGAAGTTGATTACCGTCAAACCATATCATATTTCACATTTTTGAAAGCGGGATGAATGGTGGGGGTTTGACTACTTTATTTGCCGGTTGCGGACAAGAAAATAAATAGACAAATACTACATGTAGCATATACCGGCCGAAATGGTACTCCCTCTGTCTCAAAATTCTTGTTTTAAATTTGTCTAAATACGAATGTATCAAGTCATGTTTTAGTATTAGATACATCCGTATTTAGAAGAATCTAAGACAAGAGTTTTGGGACGGAGGGAGTATATGCTAGGGCATGTACAGTGGCAGTGGTTGATATGACCGTTTTATTTTAAGCTTTGCATGTTATTTAGAAATGACAATAACATGTCTATAATGGATTACCTTTTAGCCTTATCTTCAATAATCGGTTATCTTAAAAATATGACGAGACATATTGTGCTAATAGATCATCTCTTAAATAAGAGAAAAGACAAGACTTTTCTTCTTCACCTCAACGTTTATCCTACGTGACACTTGTAAAATACCACCATTATACATACCCTAATTAGCCAAGGTGTAAAACGGAACTACTCCACGCACAATCTTTTCGATCTGTTTTTTGTACCATGCTTAGATGGATGGATGTGGCCTTTGATGGGTGATTACATGAATGACTGTGATTGTATGTCGGTCGTATGTGTAGTAGCATTTTAATTTCAGGTTCACAATCTTCCGATTCTGGGCGATGCACAATCGTAGCCTGTCGAACAATCCCTGGGGTAGCACTTCTGGCAGCATCCACGCTTGACTGAGTGGAAAGATAAGAACTTGAAGCAACTTGTTTCCCAATAGACTTATGTTTCAGCGCATCTTGCTCCATCTTTGAGTAAGCTTCATCCAAAGAAGGCGATATGACAGTGGACGTGCATATACAAAACTCATCAAATAAAACAATAAAAGACGCTGGTTACCATCACTTGTAAAAATATGTTGTGTAAAAAATGCCATATAAAAATTGATATCAATACAAAAAAAATCTAAAAACTGCCATGTAAGAACTGCATAAAATGCCATGAAGTAACTAAAATGCCATGTGTTACGACCATGTCAAAAAAGGCCATGTAAAAACAAACTAAAAATGACTATTAGGTTCTACCTAAAAAATGTCATGTCACATCTATAATAAAATGTCATGTACTAAGTTGAGACACTTATTTTAGGGCGGAGGGAGTAGTAACTAACTAAAAATACCATGTGTTACAACCATGTGAAAAAGGTCATCTAAGAACAAGCTAAAAAATGTCTATTGGGATCTTCCTATAAAATGCCGAGTCACATCTTACTAAAATGCCATGTAGTAACTAACGGAAAATGCCATGTGTCACAACCATGAGAAAAAAGGCCATGTAACAATAAACTAAAAAATGGCTATTAAGATCTACCTAAGAAATTTCATGTCACATCTAACTAAAATGCCATTACCAACACACTGAAAATGCCATGTCCAACACACTGAGAATGCCATGACAACCAATTGAAATGCCATGGCAACCATACTAAAAAAACCATATGAAACAAAAGAACTAATGTGGAAACTGACATGGCATCAAAAAATACCTTGCATCATAGGCTCGGCGAATTTGACAACCTTAGACCCGTTTAAGTTTGGTTGCGCGAGCATTGGTTCTTTGAGGTAAGGAGGCGCAAAAGAGGCAGAGGTTGGATCAATTGAATTGTCTGTGCCAAGGCTGAACGGCAGCAGGGTAAATTTCATAGGGTGCCTCTCCCTCCGTGGTCCTTGATTCTGCAAGTATGTTGGCTAATTCTAAAGCCGAACCCTGTACAGGTGCAAGTGGGGTGCTGTCAGGAACTTTAGTTACTTTCTCCACAGATTTGCTATTAGCAAGTCGCTCCTAGAAGCTGCATGAGATACCCCCAATCTTGTTCGAGCTCTTGGTCCTTGGCTTGGCAGAAATAGGTGGCTTGCTTGCAACGGGGCGCAGCACACTGCTGCCCACGACGTCTCCCGGCTCCTTACTTTAAGCTGACTCAACTGGATTGCTGTGAGCAGTTGCCGGAGACAAAGAAGACGCACGGACGAACACCGCGCGATCCATCGCCCTCTCAGCTGGACGTGCCGGAATGCTCTCCGGGAAGGGCATCATACGGAGCACGCCAGTATCAGATGCATCAGGCGGAGCCGCTCGCACCGTTGAATCCACCGCTACCGTGTCCGAGATATTTGCAGAATCTCTCACATGTGCTTCACAACTAACAACACCTTCTGTTGCATGCAGATCCACTATGTGTGCATGGGCTTGAACGGGACCAGAAAATGTAGACTCCGGCACAACAACAACAACGGGAGCAGTCTGTTCAGAATGTTTCTCCATAACAACAGCTTCCGGTTGGGGATTATCTCCATCAATGCCTCCATCTAACACACCACAAACACCCGTTTTCAGAGAAAAAATGCTGGAATAACCTCTTCGTTCCTAGGTGATAAGAGATCATCCATAGGAGCGTCTTGGTGTCTTCATTTGAATGATGCACAAATGCCAGGGAGGACATGAAACTAACTAGCCTTGCTAAATTGCTAGCATAAGTTGTATTGACGGCAGTCCTACTAGATTTTGGCACAGAGGCATCAGTTGTGCCTTCCGTTGATGATGCGGGCCTTGGCTTTATCTTAAACACTGGGCTTTGGGGCACTTGTTCTCGCCCGCAGACTTCTTGTGCTACCTAATGTACACACAAAAAAGAAATGAAAAAAGAAATTAATAAACTGTGAACTAAAAGGTGAGTATAACTGCAATATTAGAAAAAATGGCATGCCATGCAGGACTATTAAAAAATGCCTACCTAACAAAATGTGAACTAAAGAAATAGCCATGATAAAAAGTTGCTACTACTACAAACAAATGCAATGTCAAAATATGGATGGATGAAAAACTCTGAATGACATGCAAATGCCAATTGAAAATGTCCTGAATCAAAACAGGTAAAACTGACATGGCCAAAAATAAAACTGCCATCTGTCAATAGATAAAACTGCCATGGTAGTGACAATGAAGATGCCTGCATCAAAAGGCAAAACTGTCGTGTCAAATGTTCTATCTAAAAATGTCATGGTCACAGAAAATAGAACAAATGGCGTGTAAGTTATGATAACAATGCCACTAACAAACAAAAAGCAACATTGTATTCCTTAAAAATGCCATCTGATTAAAAATGTCAAAGTAGAAGAAACATTGTATTACTTAAAGAGGTTTCAATCTGGTTTTCCGAAAAAAGATCACTTCATTAAGACAAATGTTTATGTAAAATGTCATCACTAACTAAAAAATGCCACTATCCAACTAATTAAAATGAAATCATACTTATGATAAAAAAATTGCCATATAACACATTAAAATTCAAATGTATGATAAAAAAGTAAAAAAGTTCTAATGCCAATGGAAAATGAAAATGTCATGTATGAAATATGTAAAACATGCCATACGACGCCAATGAAAAATGCCATGAATGATTAGGTAAAAGCTGACATCACAAGGCAAAAAGATTGTATGAATATATAAAACTGCCAATATAAATGTCATGACTAGATGATTAAAAGCGTTACCTCTTCGAAGCATCCCTCTTATCCTCTGGGTCCAACGTATTTGACTCCACTAGGTGAGGAGAAGGACGAGTAGTGGTACCAATAGGCTCACGGACAGGTGACGAGCCATGAGGTTGACTTACCAGCAGCAGGAGCCTCACTGAGAAGCAAAAACTAAGAGATGGCAGATTATCAAACATCTAATCATACAAGAAACAGTCGCCAAAAAAACCTAGGACCCTTAAAATACTATATTCAAGGACCATAAAAGAAAAAACTACCTCCTAGCTGCGACGAGGTTAACCCTTGCCCTCTTAGGCGCACCATCGACGCCATCACCAGCACACACTATATTCTAGTTTCACATAGCCCACGATTTCGCGTGTCAAAAAATAGCATGCTAGTCATGCAAACAATACCTACGGAGGGTAAGATGGGTTCACGTTCACATCCAAACACTTGTTGAAATTAACTGCGCCACCAAAATTGTTGAGGTTGATATCATGCTTCATCGCAAACTACAGCAAGAAAAAATGATGATGAAATGCCATCCACACATGTATGACAAACCCAACATAAAAAAGAATATGTATTGACATCAAGCATATATGGAAATGCAAAAAAATCCAACATATCAGATAAATGCCATCCATCGTATATG